TCATATTTTTTCTCAAATTACATATATATATATATATATATATATATATACACACGTAAATTAAAACGTCCTTCCAAAGCGGGCGATGAGATTTCAATTCCGGCTGCCGACAGCTTCTTACGGGCGACCCATAAACTTTAACCAACAACTTTTTTTAGTGCCGACAATAACACAGATCTGTGAACTAAAGACCCGCTTATCAGGCCGACAGCAAAAAAAATTGCTTAAATAGACTCCCAAGCTTCTTGTTATAATAAAACCCCTATTCTCCGGACTAGTGGATTATCTCCCAACTAGTGAACTTTTACAAGGTCAAAACAAGGAAAAATTGTGAGCAACAGAGTCACTTTAGAAGTCACCTTCTCACCCAAAGCTGAAGCCATATCTCCAAACTCTCTCTTGAACCAACAGCACCTTAAATATCATTTCTCAAACAAAGAATTCATAGACGTCCTCCTATCTGTACTAAAAGCAGCACATCCTCCTTTACAATATGAGTCCATAAAGTGGTACATTTCATCACAAACTTTATAAAGATACTCCTATCCCAGGTTAGCAGCCTTACCCAAGCCGACTGGAAGACCCTCGTAACTCCCAATCTCTCCTCCACTCCATATCTACATCAAACAAATCTAATGGCCATGAAAAGCTGAACTGCTGCTTAGAAATTAGTTTTGGCCAAATCCGTAGATCAAACACATCCTAACAGAATCAAGGTTGAGAAGACCCAAAGCCAACTTCTTGATGAACCTGTCATAAACACAAACTTAAAAGCAAAGGTGCATAATCTAACCCGCCAAAATAAAAAAAAAAATAAAAATAATAATAAAAAAAACAATTGAAATAATTCAAAGCAATATTTAAGGCACATCTATAATTCCCTTGAGGTTAACAAGCGTAGGAACATAAGATTATCCTTGTTACAAGGGCAATCTGATGTGACAAGATTTATAAAGAGCAAGGATAACTAAAAACAGAATTTGTGAAGTTGCCTACATTGTCATTTCATAAAATATAAATGATTTGACATAACAAATAATACAAATACTTAATTTTTAAAAAGAAAAAGGATACCAATGTGTCATACCTTTCTTCCATGAATCATCACAAAAGCATCATCTATGCTTTTGCTCCTACAAAACGAAAAGAAATAAGGTTATAAATTAGTGTAATGATTTAACTCAATAATCACAGTACAAGCACTGAGATAATGTGATAAAAAATAAAAACACGAGCTCATAAAAAAGAATGTGATGAGCATTATGAGTCTAAATATTGTATTTTGTTTTGATTTGTTTTTTTTTTGTTTTATTTTCCTTTGTAAAACATATACAAGGCAATTGCCCTTTTATGAACAAGATGTTTAGTATTTTCATTAGTTCACTAGGATTAGTTCATTATTGCATGGTTTTGACTAGGACCATTGGATTCCAAGTAAGCAAATTGTAGGTCAAATTCAAGTCAAAAAATTTTTCAATAAGAATTCTTGTCCTTAGTTTCCCTACCCTACTACTCCCTAGTTCATTTAGATGCCATTGTTGCCACCATTGTTTACCTATTCTTAGCCGTGACATTGCTACTTTTTGCTTCACTACTCATTACTCATCACTTCTATCTTTTGCTATCATACTGTAGCAGAAATTAGGGCAAAACAAAATATTTTATTTCACCAACACGAAAATCACACAAATCGAATACATAAAGGATAAACACATACAAAGAGGTGGGCGATCTCTCCCAAACCCAAACCCTAACACCTAAAATTCGAGAGGTAGGCGATATCTCCCAAACCCTAACCCTAAGATTCAAGATAACAATCACATAGCATAACATAACTCTAAACATATTATTCATATTTATACCCCACAATAATAACTGACAAATGACTAAATTCGAGAGGTATTGTTTCCTTACTGCCCGATAATTCATAGATATGCCAATTCTAATCCTTCTTCACAAGCAAACTTGGGCTAGAAAAGGGGCTTATACTAGGCTATATGACCCTAGCTTCCAACATCTCTCGGATACATATCTTGATCTTGTTCTTTTGTACCTGTGAAGGGTGTACATTTTGCATTAAAAAAAATTCAAAATATTAAAAAAGATGATAAAGAAGACCAACCAAAAAGCAAAAAAAAGGTTAATAAGTAGTGGCCCCACAAAAGCTTCTAACCCTTTTCACAAAAACATACTAGGGATGACTATCATCTAAATCATGAACAATAAAATCTTTTTGTAAAGCAAGCTGTCCACAAAAATGAACTGCCTCATTGTTTGTTTTGGAAGTTCCAGAGAACAGGACCTGGTGATACTCAATCAAGAAGGCAACTTCAAGGATTTGCCCACCTTAAAGTTCCCATCACCTCCTATCAATTGACTGGCGGAGCGCATCCATGACATTGCAGTTCTCCCCCTCCACTACGATACCCTTCATCTCTAGCACCCATGGTTCAATTTGCGTCCCCACATGCCAAACAACATTCATCTCAACTCGTTCATTTGTACCTGGGAGTAGCAGTATGGGTGCACACTGATATTTATTTCCCTTCTTCCATGTTTGACTCACCCCATAATCAAGTCGCAAGTCCCAATAAATTTCTAAGCCTTCTGCCTGGAAAGTTGTCATTGCAAAAGGCACTGACGCGATCAGATACAACCCTTCGTTGAGGTCTCACCCATTGTGACTCCTTGTTCTAGATCAAAATCCTTTGAAGCGATCTTCTACACCCCGAATCGCATGTAGTCCCTTTCTATCAGCTGTCCGTAGTTCCAAACCTCAAGGTGTCGTGCAATGCTCTCTAGAAGCTGCCGCTCAAATTCATTTCAGACTTCTTCACACGATCTCACTTGCTTTTGTTTGTTCAAGTCGTCTGGATGCCACAATATCCCTTCCAAGTGCTATTGCTCGAGTCTGCTCTCGATTCCTTCGCTCAATCTCGTGACTTCAGTTCTGACTAAGGCGGCGACGCTGCCTCGATACCGCACGAATCCTTCTGATTGCTATTGTGTGCGTCCTCTCCAGAGGTCATTGCTCAATCTAGTGGCAAGCGAGGGAGGGGGTGTTGTGTGAAGCTCCTCGATCTTCTTCATCACATCATCCAGGACTGTGAATTTTCGCTCAAACTACCCCTCCACGGATGAGAAACACTCAATCATTTCAGAAATGATTAACTCACCACTTCCTCTAATTTCTCTTCCAGACAATCTATTTTTTTGATGTCATTACTCCTAGGGTGGTTTTCTATCATGGATGTGTCGTGGATTGATGCATCTAAATTCAAATTAGTTGGAATCACGTATGTATTGAGAGCTTTTGTACATCACTTGCGACTGGATTAGCGCATCTAACTTCAAATCATGGTTCTAGCATGCCATTTTCTTCCCACGACACTGCTGGCTTTCATGTATGTCTATCGCGTGATTTTGCTAGCTCAATTGCGACTATTTCGCAACGCGATAGAGACCAGTACGCTGTGATCCCATCGTTGGCTTCTTTAACTTGAATCGCGACTTGTTCGCTAGGTTTGGTCCTCTCTGTATGTCGCGATCCCCTCTTTGCTTTCCAGAATTGAAGAGTCGTGATCCAGTCTTTCTTCCCAACACTCGACTACTGCTTCGTGACTAGGAATGTCGCAAACCCAATGTCTCAACCATTTCAACAGTATATGAAGGTGCAACAATGGTAGAATTCTCTGATACCAATTTGATAGGAAGTAAGACTGACTTCCATAGAAATTAGGAAACAAATCAAAGCAATACAACTCCGAATACATAAAAGATAAGCACCTATAACTCAAGAAGAAGACTCTCTCCCAAACCCGAATCCTAACACCAATAATTCAAAAGGTAAGAGATCTCTCCCAAAACCTAACCATAAATTTCAAGAAAACAATCACATAACATAACATAACCCTAAACATATTAGCCCTATTTATACCCAATAATAAAAACTGATAAATGACTACATTGCCCCCTTTTGTCTTACGCCCAGCATAAGTATTCAAACTATTTTGGCAGGCTCAGGGTGGTGGAAAATGCTGTAGGTGTTAGTCTAATAGTTTCCTGCTCTTTAAGCTGCATGGTCTGCCTATTTTAGCACAATTCAATTGCCAGTTTTGGCAAATCTCGAAATACACCAAGAATTGCATCAACAATTCAACTTTTCATCAGAGATTTAATATTAATGAAATTCATGGAGTATTGCAACCTGCTAGGTAAGAGCTTGATATATTCACAAAAGTTTTTTATTTTGAGTCATTTTGGTCCACAAAACAAAGTCGTTGAGCCACGTAAAAGTCAATAAACATTGACAATTGCTATAAAATTCCAGTTCTTCAATCCTTTTGTGTGTTGGTTGGAATGCACATTCTTTAAGTGATTCAAAGATGATGCAATAAATCCAGAGACAAGTCTCCATGTACTAATGTGAGGCCTGATTATTCATTTAGGGTGAATTTGATCCTTGTTCTTGATTTCATTTGTTTAATCACTGGTATGTGTGCTTGATTTTTCTGTCAAGTATGATATATGTCAAATTTCCTTTCGTAGTGTAGAAGTGATATTTCCTAAATTTTGATGTTAATTCACTATTTTTACTTGTAGAATAACAAAATTTGGTAACCATTAAGTTATTATGCGAGCTCAAAAAAATTGCGACCCAACCTCCCTCACACGAGAGTTTTTATGTTATTCTGGGTCATATTTTTAAAAAGTTAATTAGATTTCACTTAAGAAACTATCCAAAGAATTTGCTCTCAATTTATGAATACTTTAAGCGTTGGTTCGAGATTTCCAAGAAGTATATCCTCTATAATTAATCACCCCTCCTGATGATAGGAGAATTTTTTATTAAGAATTTTTGAGGTGCTAATTGCTCAATATATAATAGTAGCAATTGGTTTTAGATTTTAAAAACTTACTTTCAAATAAACCTAAATGCTTCAAAAAACATGCTAAACACTCAAACATAAAATTAAATAATGCTACATTAACCATTGTTCTAAAAACAAAACTTTAGTGGCCGGTTCAACCATGAATCAGTTATTCGGCCAGTTCGATCCAAAAGCTCGAAGCCATTCTTGTACATAATCGAGATTGAACCCGTTAGAACCGGGGATTGAATCGAAAAACCGTTGAATTTGTTCGATTTTTTAAGACCGGTATGATGCTAATATTGTCCAATTTGAACTTTTTTTATTTGATTGGATGGCTAGATATAAAATATTTAAATTAAAAATGGAGAATGTCATGTGTCAAAATTTTGATTTAGAATATTCTTCAAAATTTTCAAAGGTGAAGTATCTTAAATTAAAATAGTATTTATTAAATTGATAAAAATAAGATTATTACATGATTAATATATTATGTAATTATATTAAAATAAATTTAATATTTATTATGTTATTCGGTTCAACTTAATATTTAATCCTGATTGGAACATTGAACCATGATTCTCTCCTTCCGATTCTATGTTTGGTCTAATTTTCACAACATGACTTTAGCTAAAAATAAGATAAATTTAAATTTATCACGCTTTAAAAATATGCAATTGCTTTAAAAATGTACAATCGTTTTGAAATGTTATAATCACCTCAAACAAATCAAATGCGTCTACAAATATGTGTTGTCAGCCGAGAGGCCCTAAACATAAGATAATGTCGTGGATCCCACCTTACCAGTCAACTCCTCCATATCATAAGTAATGCTTTTAAATTATTCTCTCATGATCTAAAACAATAAACTCATCATCTTAGATCGATAATCTGATGTTCGATAAAAAATTCACCGGAAATAATTGGTCTTCCATTTATGTATGGCTTCCAAAAACTTTTTATAGAAAAAGTTCATACTAAATCAAAACTATCGATATTGTTACATCTGCAAAGTATAATGATAATTTAAACCTATGAATTAGAATCCTTTAAGCAAGCAGAGTCAACAAAATTCAGTGTCAAAATTTGAAGTCACTTAAATATCCCTATAACATGCATAATCGTTGTACACCATAATTGGAGAGATTCATTCTCAAAATTAAATTCACAAACTGAAAATACAAGCAATGCAAACTACCTACCCTAATAAATGTGGCATTATTAGAAAATCTTAACCGAAGTAGGAACTACTTTTAGAATATCCCCAAATTTCGACATAAATCATTTCAGGTTTCAGTCAAGAAAAAAAGAGCAAAAATCACTATATATATA